CGGGATAGGTTTATATGTGGCTAAGTGTCATTGCACAGGGAGATTTTATCTGGTTCAGGGATAGGTTTATATGTGGCTAAGTGTCATTGCACAGGGAGATTTTATCTGGTTCAGGGATAGATTTATATGTGGCTGGGCCTCGCTGCCGCCTGGCTTGAGGGGGGCCTGCACTCAGTTGTGCCCAGCCAGAAGAGCCCAAGGGCTCTTTGCCGCCGCTGCACTGGGCTTGCCCCTGGGCCGGCAGCAGCTCCCGGCTTCTCTCCCGCACTGCGGCGCAGGGGCCGGGGATCGGCCCGAGCCGGGGGGAGGGAAGGTGGGTGTGAGCGGCGCGGCCGGGGGCGGGACGGGAAGGCGCGGCCCTGGCCGAGGCCCAGCTTCTTCCGCCGCTTTCTGCTGCTGTCGCCGCTGCCTGCGTGTCGGGGAGAAGCCCGTGAGTGAGGGGCCGCGGCCGGGCCACGCCAGGGGGTAGCTGCGACTCCGAGCGCAGCGCGGCGCCTGCGGGGGGGAAGCCACGAGAGGGAGGCGGCCGCCTCGGGGCCCGGCTCTCGGGCTGCGTTCTCCGGGCCAGGGGCTCGCCCAGGCCGCTGCTCCTGCCTGCCCGCAGGCGTCATGGCCCCCTCCTGTCCCTACACACATTTGGGCTGGGGCCCAGGTGCTGGCTGCCTTCGGGGGCCCGCTCGACCCGCCCGGCTCCTTCGCGCTAGAGCATTAGGGCGGGTTATTCAGCCCTGGGGCCCGGGCCGGGGGCTGACCCTTTTGTGGGCTGGGCACTTGGCCACACTGGGTGCTTGGAGCCCATCAGACGTAGTTCATGGTATTTCACCTGAGCCGCCATCAGATGGTGACTTGTCCGGCTACCAAACTGGGCTGGGTTTGTACCAGTGACATGGCTGTGCTAGAAACGCTACAGCTGCACATTTGCACTGCAGCGCAGACATTCGGGCGTAGTTAATCCACCTCGCTGAGAGGTGGTAGTTAGGTGGGGAGACCGCTTCCCTCCACCTAGCGTTGTCTGCTCTGTCCTCTAGATCAGGGGTTCTCAAACTGGGGGTTGGGACCCCTCAGGGAGTCACAGGGTTCTTGGGGGGGGGGGGTTGCAAGCTGTCAGCCTCCACCCCGAGCCCTGCTTTGCCTCCAATATTTATAATGGTGTTAAATATATAAAAAGTGTTTTTAATTTATAAGGAGGGCTCACACTCTGAGGCTTTCTATGTGAAAGGGGTCACCAGTACAAAAGTTTGAGAACCACTGCTCTAGATCAGTACAGCTATGTCTCTCTCAAGGGTGTGGGTTTTTCACATGGCTCTGTGTCCCAAGGAGGGTCCCATCTTCAAAAATGTCAAATCCCAGGAATGAAGTTACAGGAAACTTTCTTCACATAAAGAAACCAAATTGCTTGTTATTTTTAACTGATCATTCTGATGTTGCGTATTGTCTCATTGCCACACTGGCACTGGTAGGGTTGGGAGAAGGATGAAGAAGTAGGTTTCATGATGTGAGAATTTGGACCCTTCCCAGTCCCCTGTGGAAAAAAAGTTACCTTAGATGTGTTTTAAGAAAGGCCCTATGAAACTCAGTTTCTTGTTTTAACACTTTTGATTTGTAATAATATTTGGAAGAGTGTAACTTTTGTGTGTTTGTGTTTTGTTTTTGTTTTTTTCAAATTGTCTAAGATGACTTAATTGAGGTTTGTTATTTAAGAAATAAAGTATAACAAAAATAGCAAAATGGGAAAATGTACTTGACCTTGAAGTAATTTCTCAGTTAATTGTCGAATAATAATGGAACATTAGTGTCACAATTTGTTGGATTAAAACGTGGACGACAGATTTAACTAAGAAAATTCCATTCACTTTGTTAGTCAAGTTAACAGAAAGTCAATGCACTTATTTAAAAATTGATTTTTTTTTCATGGTCCATGATGCTCATTGCTGTCAGAGCTGATTCACACACTTCTCTGACATCCTAGCATTTGCCAAGCTTGCGATCCCATAGCCTCCATGGAATTGCTCTGGAGCCATTCTTCTGGGAGGGAGGGAAGGGTTAAGTAATAGTGTTCAGCATGCCTCTTGTAATCTGTTAAAACCACTCAACACAAATTCCTGAAGTGCATGAATTTTTTATCTTATATTTGAAGTCTGAGAGCTGATGGTGGTGATTGGAGGAAAATCCAAAGAGACTGTTAATTAGTTTGATACTTAGTATATTAGAATCACCAGTGCAGCTCTAAATGCTGTTTTTCAGCAAAAATTGTTTTAATTTTGGTTCCAGGTTTTAGAGCAGCATCCACTTTATCTTGCAATTAACTCTACATCAGACCAATAAACATAGACTCATAGACTTTAAGGTCAGAAGGGACCATTATGATCATCTAGTCTGACCTCCCGCATGATGCAGGCCACAAAAGCTGACCCACCCACTCCTGGAATAATTCTCTCCCTTGAATCAGCTGTTGAAGTCCCCAAATCATGATTTAAAGACTTCAAGTCACAGAGAATCCTCCAGCAAGTGACCCCTACCCCATGCTGCGGAGGAAGGCGAAAAACTTCCAGGGCCTCTGCCAGTCTACCCTGGAGGAAAATTCCTTCCCGACCCCAAATATGGCGATGAGCTAAACCCTGAGCATGCAGGCAAGATTCTCCAGCCAGACCCTCCGGAAAAAAGTTCTCTGTAGTAACTTTTAATATCCCATCATTGACCATTGTTACTAATTACCAGCGATGGCACGTTATTGACCTATTGACTAAAGTCACTTA